CATTAAGCGCTCTGATTGATCAAGCACATTGCACATTTGAATTCAAGGCAAGCACTCAAAAACGATTTTTTATTTGTTAAAGTTAGGCCTGAAACGGCCTTATTCTGCTCCATATTAAACAGGGATCGTTGTGTATTTGCAAGCTTTTTCACTCTCATCCATTACTATAATTCATTTTTTTTATTATTTAGAGAGCATTATAAATAGTTATGTTTTTAAAAGAAAAAAAACTACTATTGTTATAAGTAACACATTCAATTGAACTAAACTATGCATGCCTGTTTAAATATATTTACACGTGGCTTGTGTTTATCGTATATATATATACATATATATTATTCATACCTTCGGTGTATAGGACGCAAGCAGATTTTGACATCAACCTTTGGGGTAAAAAAGTGCGTCTTATACACCGAAAAATACGGTATACATTCAGAGTGAACTCAACTACCCTACCCCCCTTCGAGAAAATGTGTCCTTTCCATGTGTCATGCTTTATTCATGCTGCTATCTAATTGGACGAAAGCAGAAGTAAAAGGAATATGCACAGAATTTAAAGCTTATACTATGGAGATTGAAAATCAATGAATTAGACAGACGTACGAAATATATATAAATGAAAAACGAGTAAAATCTAAAACGTCTGAAGCATCCACTCCTCACGAGTTCAATATTGATCTCTTAGCATGCGCATACTTGAAATATATTGCCTCAAAAGGTCGTTGTAAAGTACGTCATTCTTCATAATAACCAAATGAGTGAAATGTTCTGAGTCAATCATCATTTCCTTGAACATGATCTAAGTGTATAAAAGTTCAACATAAGGTCGTTGTAAAGTACGTCATTCTTCATAATAACCAAATGAGTGAAATGTTCTGAGTCAATCATCATTTCCTTGAACATGATCTAAGTGTATAAAAGTTCAACATGGAAAATGGAAATATCTATTATTGCATAATTCTGTAGCTTCTTCGACAAAATATATCAAACATGTACCTAAACGTCATGTTTGTTTATGACCAATCTTTTGTTCTTTGACTCCTTATCATTGCGTCAAGGAATAATTGGTAATGTAAAGGTTTACTGTTGAGTAGTATTTGAAATTAATCTGCTTTAAATAAACAATATAATCAAGAAATAATGCTGGTACTCGCACTGGATTGTCTATAGATGCCTACCTAACATAAACTAATGTGTAAGAAACGTTTCTTGTCTATAGATGCCTACCTAACATAAACTAATGTGTAAGAAACGTTTCTTGTCTATAGATGCCTACCTAACATAAACTAATGTGTAAGAAACGTTTCTTGTCTATAGATGCCTACCTAACATAAACTAATGTGTAAGAAACGTTTCTTGTCTATAGATGCCTACCTAATATAAACTAATGTGTAAGAAACGTTTCTTTAGTGAAATAAGCGTCGAAAAAAAAAACATTTCAGTAGTTAAGAGGTCAA